GGAGGAGCAGAGAGAGAGAGGAGAGAGAATCCCAAGCAGGCTCTGCGCTGGTAGCACAGAGCCTGACACGGGGCTTGATCTCACCATGAGATCATGACCTGAGCTGAAACCAAGAGTTGGATGTTCAACCGACTAAGCCACCCAGGTGCCCCTCAACTTGACTTTGAAAAGTGGGAAGGCCTAGGACTCAGGCCTTTCATTCATTATAGTCTCAACTCATTCCATGGTTTTATAATACTGACTATATGCTGATGACTCCCAAATTCATATTTCTAACTCCTACATTTCCCCTGATTTCTCCACAGCTAAATCTAACTCTACTTGGCTGTTTAACAGACCTCCCAGCCCAATATGTTCAAAGAGAACACCTGATTCCACCCCTCCTCTAAATCTGGTCCTGCCTCAGTTTTACCTATACCGTAGAACAGCTGCACTATTCACCCAGTTGCTCAGTCCCAAAACCTAAGGACTTTTTATTCTACTTTTTCTCTCATACCCCATAATGATTCCATCATCAAACCCTATCAGTCCATCTGCAAAATATACCCAGAATCTGACCCGTTCTCACCATGTCCACCACTAAATTCCACACTAGCTCATGCTGCTGTTACACTTAAGACCAGCCTCCCAAATGTTCTCCCTGCTTTCTCCACTCTGGTCCCTACAGTCTTTTTGCTACATCGCAGTGAGTGATCTTTTAAAGGTATAAATAAGACCACATCACTTCCCTGCTCCAAACCTTCCAATGGCTTACCATTACACTCAGAATAAAATCTAACTCCGTTCTGTGACCTTCAAGGCCCTCTGGCTTCATGTTGTACCATTCTCTCTTCTGCTCACTCCCCCCTAGCCTCTTCTCAAATACATCAAGCTCAGTCCCACTCTGTCTAAATCCCTTCCCCGACTGTCACATAGCTTGCTTCTTTACTTCAGGTTTCTGTTTAAATTTTTTTTTAACGTTTATTTATTTTTTTGAGACAGGGAGAGACAGCATGAACGGGGTAGGGTCAGAGAGAGAGGGAGACACAGAATCTGAAACAGGCTCCAGGCTCTGAGCTGTCAGCACAGACCCTGACGCGGGGCTCGAACTCACGGACCGCGAGATCATGACCTGAGCCGAAGTCGGATGCTTAACCGTCTGAGCCACCCAAGCGCCCCCTTCAGGTTTCTGTTTAAATGTCACACCTTGAACATCACACCTCCCACCATTCTGTAGTCTATTCTTTCCCTGATATGACATTATCTATTTACTTATTCACTGTCTCCTCTACTAGAATGTAAGCTCCTTAACAATGGGTTTTTGCATGCCTTATCTACTGCTGTACTATAGATGTTCAGTGATATTTGTTGAATAAGGACTCCCCAAGAGTCTCCAGGCCCCCACCAGTAGAGCAGAGATTGGGAGGTGAGGTGTACAAACCCACCTCTCCAGCCCCTTACCTGTCTTTGTATTTGGACAACTTCTCTTCCTCCCAGGCAGTATTTCCACCTCCGAAGTTGTCCCGGATTGTTCTCTCCAGGCCCTGGAAATGGAGAACATTAGTAATGGCTAAGTACAGTGCCTGACACATTCTAGCACTTTGGTATTTCACTCACCAGGGAACTGAGGCAGAGAGGCAAACTGCCCAAGGCTATATACAACTAGTAAGCAACCAAGCTAGTACCTGACTCATGCAGACTTGCATCCCAGAACTCCTCTCGACCCCTGTGCTATAATGGTTAGGCCGCCCCCCACATGGCTGCTCATGCACCCACCTTGTTGAAGCTGTCGACCAGTCCACGGCAGGTATGACATGGATGGAGCTCAGTTGGGGGAGAGGACTGGGGAGACGGAGAGGGCTGGAGCCAGACGGGGCCTGGGAGGCTAAGGAAGAGACTTAGGCCCCAGAGCAGAGGTGGGACCAGGCCTCTGGGGGGCAGTGAGGCCATCTCTGACCCAGGCTGGGAACCTGTAGATAGAGGGAATGGGGATGACTCACTGGAGGAGCCAGGTGAGAAAGAAAAGGGTTGGCTCTGAGGTGCCGCGGGTCTGGGAGCCCAGATGTGTGTTATTATAAGAAAAAGAGGCTAGACTCGGGGGTTTGGCTGGGGGAGGGGAGGTGGTGAGGAAGGAGCCTATTCTGCAATTCCAAGACGGTAATAAGTTATCCTTGTCACGGTGGGAGAGGTGGCCTGAGTCCTTGGCAAAGGAGAAGTCAACTCATTGTTCTCAGGCCTGAATATGGGTTCTTAGGCCAGGATCAGCAGAATTAGGGAGAATGGGTCAGAGTCCAAGTAATAGGAGAGTAGAGGCCGGATGGGCGGTCTTGGGGGGAGGAGTCCGGAACGGAACCCGGGTCTTGTGGGGAGGAGCCCGGATCCGGATATGAAGAAAGGGGGTCAGGTTAGCGGCCCGCAGGCTGCAAAGACGTGGCCCACTAGTCGACAGGGGATGATCCAGATCCGCATAGGCTGCGGGGGAGGAAGAGATAACCCACCCAGCCCGCGGGCGCCGACGGCTGAGTCTCCCCAACGCCACCGCAGCCGCTGGCTGCGTAAGACGTGCAGCATCCGCCAGCTCCGCAGTCTGGGGGGTGGGGCCTACCCACAGCCAATGGTGGTGGCCCATGTGCCATTGCGTCATCCCACGTCAGCCAACCGGAGGCGGCGCCGGGCTGCACCTGTACGGGTGTTAAAGGGCCGCCGGTGTGCTGATCGGCTAGTGGCGCGGTCACAGACACATGCCGGAGGCACGGATAGAAAAATAGCGTCTGCCTTTATTCAAGTTGTCTCCCCTGCCTCACGTGCCATCCCTCGTCCCGTCCTCAGGGTCCCCGGGATCCCCGGGAGACTTAAGCAGCTGGTCCAGAGCAGGCTGCAGGGCCTGAGACACTAGCCTCGCCCTCTCTCTCAGCAGCCCCGGCCTGGGGTCGCCGGGTTCCTGCAGGGTCCCCAGGAAGCCGGGCAGCTGGGAGGGCAGGGAGAAGACCGGCACGCTGCGGAAAAGGGCAGGCACGGCATCTGAGTGGAGCAGTCCGTCGAAGTAGGCCCCGACGTAGCGGCCAGGCGCCCGGCCCTGCAGGAAGTCAGGCAGCACGCAGCTGAGCGAGGCGGCAAAGGCGTCGTGCGGGCCCTGCGGGGCGGGAGTCGAAGCCCCATCCTGCAGCCACTCCCGGCACAGCACCACGGCCCCAGGTGAGAAGAGCAGCACCACCACGCCGCCCTCCTGAAGGGTCTGGCGCCTCTGCGCGTGGAACCAGGCCAGGGGTCCCTGCGCGCTCAGTTCACGACGGCTCCACAGGTCCACGGCCACGCGCAACGGCAGCTGGCACAGCGCCGACGCCAGGGCGCTCACTAAGCGCTCGAAGCCAGAGTCCTCCGCCGAGTAGAGGAGCAGAGCCGCGCGGCCCCTGGTGGCAGCTGCCAGAAAAATCGAGGGGAAGGGAAGACGTGAGACGGCCGAGGCCGGCCCCCTAGGGGCGGCCCCCCGCCTGGCACTTGCTCACACTTACGCCCCGCGCGGATGTCCTCCTTCAAGAGCCTCAGCCACCCTGTTAGGGGAGAGGGGCGGGGAAGCCCATGAGCTCGGCTGCCACCTTCTCAAGGGGAGCTCCCAGCCCTGTCTCTGGGGAGTGCGGAAGCCCGGAAGCGCTCACCTTTCACTTGGTCCTTTCTGAAAAGGAAGAGAAGGAAAAGCACAGCGACAAAGAGTAGGCAGGCCAGCCACACCAGAGCCCAGCGCTGGTGAACGTCTAGGAGACCCAGGGGAGAGGATAGGCTAGTTAGATACCATAACACTTTCACCCCAGTTCACAAAGGAGAAAAACTCAAAGATTTAAAAGATCTCGGGGGCTGCGATATGTGACTGACGGACTCAGAGAAATGGAAAGATTTGCCCGAAGTCCACAGCATGTAGTGTCAGAGTCAATATATGAACATAGATCCATCTATTTGGGTGACCTTGGAAAAGTCATTTCATCTTCTGCCTCAGTTTTCACCTCTGTAAAACTGGGTTAACACTAGTACTTATTTCATACAGTTGTTGTGAGGACTACCTGTATTAATACTCACAAAGCACTTACAATGCTAGGCACAGTAGGTGTTCAAATGTCAGCTAAGATTGTCTCCTAAGCCTAGTGTTGCTGGACCCTTGACCTCACTCTCTTGATGACTCCAACAATCTTCCAAACGGTGTCCCTGACCTCTTTTTTGCCTCCAGTTCATTCACTACATGGCAGCCCCAGAGACCTTTTTAAAATACAAATTTGATTATAGCCTTTCAGGAAGCTCCCACTGCTCTTAACATAAAATCCAATTCCTTACGTCAGCTCCCAAAGCCCTAGATGACCCTTGCATCCTTGTGATAGAGGTCTGCCCCTCGAGACCCTCTAGCCACAATGGCCACCTTGAAGTTCCTCAAAAAAGCATTTTTCCCCCACTTCACTCAGCTCAGCCTTCAGAACAGGTCAAACCTTTTCCCGGCCTCACCCCATCTAAGTCAGGTCCTCATTATTTGCATTCATGGTTTTAGACATTTTATAGCAAATGCTTCAATAACTCACATTTACTAAATGTAAGTGATTGTTTAGCTAATGTCTTTCTAGCTTTCTATGGCTGCGGTGGGGGCAGGGATTGTGCCTTTTTGGTGATGCTAGACTCTGTGTGAGCTCTCTTCTTGGCTTTTGAATGAAGGAAGGAGTGTCCCTCTGATTGATCTGAGCCAGGGAAAGACAGGCCATTGCATGTGCTGCCCCTAAGATTGTCTAGATTCCAGCTCCTGGTACGGAGGGGGAAGGGCAATTCTTGTAATACTCACACTTGTCCATGGGGCAGGCCCACAGTGCCCTCAGGTCATCATCCCACAGCTGTAAGACAAACAAAACCAAGACCATGGCCCCACAACACAAGTTCTGGCCAGCCTGATCTCCAAATTTCCAGCCTCAGCTATGCATATTTCACACACACACACACACACACACACACACACACACACACACACACTCACACTGTAGTTCCCCACAAGCCTCTCTTCTCTGCCTTTGATCATGCTATGCCTACTGCCTGGACTATTGCTTTCCTCCTTGCCAGATCTGGCACAATGTCCCTTCCTTGAAGCTTTCCATGGAACCCAATGCTTAGCACATATGAATTTGGTTATCTGTTTTCTGGTTTCTAGCCAGCAGTGAGCAACTTGGGAACAGGAACTATGCTTCTTCAACTCTTGGCTTCCCTAGGGCTGGACACACATAAGCACAAATAGATGGTGAGTGGGTACTAGGGGGACAGTGAAGAGGCCCTTACCTAGGAAGAGTGAGAGTTTCCCTGGTGCCCTCTGTGAGGCACAGGAAGAGATGGAAGAAGTTAAATACAGAGTTTTAGGCCTATTGCCCTTGGGCATTGGAGCAGGGCCCTCCTGCCACCTACTCACCTGCAGACACTGGCCTGACTGCAGATCTTGTAGTAATTGCTCTCCAAGGCGAGCTGCCCTCTGCCAAGACAAAAGGGGACTATCACCTAGGGGTACCACATTTAGGAGACCACCAAGCTGCAGCTGAGCAGAATAGTGGGGGAATGGGGCATGGAGATTACTAAGAGGCCTCTGAGAACAGGAACTAGGTCTGAATCACCCCCACATTCCCAGACACCAGCACAGGGCCGGAACCGAGGAGGGGAAATTGAATATTGTGAAAATTTGAGGCCAGGCTTGAGACAGAACTGGAAAGGTGCATGGAGGAGGGTCCCCTAGCCCTCACCGTGGAGGCCCTGCTAAGTAGTGGGGTGCAGCCACTGGGTTCCAAGGCACAGAGTGATCTGTTGTTGTGGGGGTCTCGTGTCTCCACCAACAGCATATCATCCTTGAGGGGCCCAAGGGAGTCTGGAAAGGGTAAGAGCCCAGTCTTGAGTGAAACCCAAACTTGCTGGAGCCTGCCACTTGCCCCCGCCCCACCCATTCCTGTGCCTGACCTTCACCCCCCAAGAGTTGGCACTTCTAGGCTTCATCCCTATTACAGTGGCCCTGCCCCAGCCTTCTCCAGGCTTCACTCACCAACCCACAAGCACTCTTGCAGCTGCAGCTTCTCCCAGCTGCTCACCTGCTTAGAAGGGGCCAAGGTTAGGAGCACAGGAAAAAGCGAGAGCCAAGGCCATAAAGGGTAGGACAGTAAGGGGAGGCCTGTCATGTGGGGGGGGAGGGGGTCTGCACTCTGGACCTAATCTTAGGCAGATCAGGGTTCAAGGCTGGATGATTAGCAAATACTTCATTTTTCTCAGCCTTAGCCTTGTGAGAGTGTCTGTGCTAAAGGGCCTTATGACCCTAAATTAGTTCTTTTTATGTCTTTATACATTCCCTTCTCATCTAACCACCTTCACCAAGAGGCCTCATCTGACTGCTCCACTTGAAATTGCAACCCCCACCCTCCTTTATCCTTCCCCACCCTTCCCATAGTATTTAGATACAATTTTAACATAGTGTGTAGGTCTATTGTCTGCCTTTCTCCATTAGAACATAAGCTCTACAGGGTGGGAACATGTATTGGTTTTAGCCACTACTATGAAGTATTTACTATTATCATCCCCATTAAACAGACTGACATTCAGAGAGGTAAAGTGACTTGCCCAGAGTCCCATGGCACTGCTAAAATCAATACTGGAACTCCCAGAAGTAACTACTTTGTTCCAGTGACTCAAGGATAAAGTGGGTCCAGAAGACAGTGAATTATCTGGGGGGGTCCACTCTGGGTCCTGCCCCTAGCCCAGAGCTCTTATGCCCCCTTCTTACCTGGACACAGAGGTTGGGGTGGACATTCAGCAATGGCAATTCAAGTGCCTTCTGTGGAAAAAGAGTAATAGGTGGGGTCAGGAAATATGCCCCCCTGGGCTTCCACTTCCTTCCAGGAGCCTCCCACCGCTTCACTTACGTTTACAGTGACATTTGCTGGTGGCAGCGGCGGGACCAGCGACTGGCAGGGGCCCCCGCCTGGTGCCTGCCAACAAAGAGTGGCCTCAGCAGGCAGCGAGCAGGGTGCATCTAGCCGCCAGCCCCTTGGGGGCAGCAGCTGCAGCCGGGCTGCACGCCAGAGGTTCCGATGTGCCCGGGGGTCTGCAAGGAGAGGGCTGGGTCACTGGGCACCCAGAACTCATCCACCTGCACTGTTACCACCATGGCCCAAGCCCCAGTTTGCTCACCTTCCCTAAAGGGGCAGATGCTTGTCCTGACAGAGTCGGGCTCTAGCGGCCACACCTGGAAAAGAAACTGGGTTCTACAAGTCAGTTCAACTGAGTTGACCCTCCAGGAGCCTAGCCTCTGTTACGCACTGGGGATGCATTCATTCAACTGATATTTCATAAACACTCGTCCAGTGTTTTTGCCCTTTGCAAAGTCCTAGAGTTGCACACATTTATTCTTCCAGCAAGCTCTATGCCAATTATCTGGCAACATCTTCATTCAACAGACTTTTAGTGAGTATCTACTATGTGTCTTAGCACTGTGGTAGGCACTAGGAACATTGATAATTAAATCCATGATCACTTTGTGTGAACCTACTATGTGCCAGGTAGGTGTTAAGGAC